ATATTAATATTAGTCGATATTAATTAGGTTAAATATGAGAAGTTATGTTGGAGTATCTCTACAAAATATATTTTTAAAAATTTACAAAACTAAACATCCTACAGTAGTTTTACAGTCTTTATTTTACAGTTAAAATAAATGTTTATCAAATAAAGTCTAATGTTACAACTAATCCTGGACCTCTTTAAGTTAATTAGTCGTAGTTGTTCAGCCATTAATACGTTTCTGCTCATTCCATTTCATTTTTTCCCACCATTCTGCAAGAAAACGTCGTTAATTGCAGATGAAGTACGCTCAGGAGACAAATTCAGATTTATACTTGAACAATTKATTTCAGAATTTAAACCTTACAGAACCTTCAGCTGGACCAAAAACAAACACAAATGCAGTGAGTAGGTTTTTGGTACTGGAAAACTCCTGGAGCAAACAACATCAGATCTGAAAGGAAAAGGCCTCCCCGTCTCTGGGCTCAGTCCTTGAACATAAACTCTGCAATCTAATGAGAAACATGATGTCTAGTGTGAGGAGTGTTTAAACTAAACTGTCCTTCATAAGTACAGTCTGTTCTGAGATGACCCGTGTCCCGGGTCTCCCATAATACAACACCCATTATCATCTAAAATATAATTACACATTTGACTATCAAAAATGGTCTAGCTATCTTAATAAAAATATGCATATGTGAAGTGCATTTAAAAATGTGCAAACAAAATACAGTTTCCTTCAGTTCATAATCTTGTTTTGTAATAAAAACACACAAACACAGACTAGAAAAAACGTCTGTCTTAGCCTTTTGGCAGCAGGTTATGATAACTAATAAAAATATATTATGACTAATGACTTTATCTTTGTATAATTATGTCTAGGAAAAATGATAAGGTAAATCTTTTTTGTGAATGAAGGACCAAAGAAGATCAAAAGTGTGATGCCTTTAACAACTGCCACAGTGTGTAACTGTTACTTCAAGATGGATTGGATAACTAGTGGTTTTTCATACTGAACATGTTTTACTTACCTCAATAATTTAAGCTTAAGGTTGAAGACAACACCAAAAAAACTAAAATAAAGAGTACATATATAT